CCTTCCCATTTGAAAATTTGCTTCCCATTGTCCAATATCTAGTATACATTTTAGTCCTTATTTCCATGTTGGGTTTCTCTCTCCAGAGAAAGAATGGGTATTTAAATATGTGTTCAATTTATTTCACTTAAGAGTAGGTCTCAAGGTGCATCCATTTAGCTATAAATGTCTGAAGCTCATCCTTCTTTGTGGCAGAGTAGTACTCTGTTGTTTAAAAAAACTACATCTTTATCCATTTGCCAGCTGATGGGCTGTTTTCAAGATTTAGCTATTACATACTGTGCCACTATAAACATGGGTGTGCATATTTCTCTGTGGTAGGATGCTTCTAATTCTTTTGGGAATCTCCACATTGATTTCCACAGTGGTTGCACCAGTCTACACTCCCACCAACAATGAAAAAGTGTTCATTTCTTCCCACAACCCTGCCAGCATTTGTTATTGGTTGATTTCTTGATAACAGTCATTCTTTCTGGAGAAGATGGAATCTCAGAGTTGTTTTCATTTGCATCTCTCAAACGACCAGTGATGCTGAACATTTTTTCATAATATTTATTTGCTGTTTGTACTTCTTCATCTGACAAATATCTGTTCATTTCAGATGCTCATTTTTGGATAGGATCTTTAAATTTGGCATAAGTTTGTTTTATTTTTTCTCAAACAACAACAAAAAATATTGGTTACCATTGGGAATGCTAGTGAGTTCATAATTTTAATAATAGAAGAATAAAGGAACAATATCAAGATTTTTGTACCCCCCCAAAAAAACTTTTCCCCCCACACTGGGCTGTTTCCTCACTCTGTTGGTGGTTTCCCTTGCTGTGCAAAAGCTTTTTAATAAGATGAGGTCCCAGTTGTTGATTCTTTGTAATATTTCCCATGTGGTCTGGGTTTTGTTCCTGAAGTTTTTGCCTGCTCCTGTGTTCTCAAGTGTTCTAACTATTCTCTCTTCCAGCAGATTTAATGCTGCTGTTTTAATATTTACATATTTGATTCATTTCAATTTTAGGCTACACACTCAACCTTTTAAAATACACAATTTAGTGAACTTTTTATATTCCTAAACTTATACAATTACTACCAGTTCCAAAGTACATAAAATACATGTATCAGCCCAAAAATAACCCCTCTAGTCATTAGCAATCTGTACTTATTCCTCCTTTGCCTTGGCTCTGACAGTAAATAATCTAGTCTGTTGCTGATGTACTTAGTTTGGACATTTCACATAAGTGGAATAATTTGGTAGTTTTTGGTATATACCTTGAAGTGGAATTGCTCAGTCTTTTCTTTTTTTTTTTTTTTTTTTTTTTTTTTTTTTTTTTGTACCAGGGATCTAACTCAGGTCCTTGCTCTTGCAAGGCAGGTGGCGGATTGCTCAGTCATTTGATAACTATATGTTTAATCTTTTGAGGAACTGTCAGACTGTCTTCCAAAGTACCTGAATCCTTTAACATTTCTACCAGTAATATATGAAGCTTCCAGTTATTCCACATCTCTCTTTACCAAAACTAATTTCTTTCCTGTTTTATTTATTCTTATTGAATGTGAAGTGTTATCACTTTGTGGTTGTGTTCGTTTGTTTGTTTGGTACTGGAGATCAAACTTGGGACCTTCCACTTGCAAGGCAGGCAGCGGCACCACTGAGCTAAATCCCCAGCCCCCTATAGGATTCCCCCCTACACTGAGACTCAAACTCCGGACCTTGTGCTTGCAAGGCAGGCACAGTGCCACTGAGCTAAAACCCAGGCCTTTCCTCCAGTATTTTTCACTGTGCCGTGTCCAAGGTGGAGCCTCCTTTCCATGAGTGGAAGTAGAATAGAAAATAGGAAGCCCCTACCCCTCTTACTCACCTGAGACTTAGTCCCAGGAACAGAAATCTGATGGTAGGATGACAAACATTGAAGTCCTGCTGCTCCCAGGAAGCAGGCCTTCCAGTTAAAGCTGAGGGAGAAAGAGCCCCATATATTTCGCTGCAGCATTGTGGAGTGGAATTTCTGGAGAGGGAGGAGGCAGACAGCAATCTTGACTTAAATACAACAGTCTCACTTTCCTACCAAATACTTCAGTCACTTCAGGTTATTATTCACTATACATGAGTGCCCTAAACAATAAATATTTATTTGTCATAATTTGGGGCCTAGAAATGTGAAGTCAGGAAGCCAGCATGGTTAAAGTCTGGGGAGGTCTTGCATCCAGTTTGCGGACAGCCAACTTCTCTTTGGATCCTCATGTGGTAGAAACAGCCAGCTTTCTGGCTTTCTCTTATAAAGACCTGAAGCCCCTTCGTGAGGGACCCACCATCATGACTTATTGATCCTCCATTGTCCCAGCTTCTGAATACCACCAAATGATGTGTCAATATATAATCTTGTAAGGATGCATATCAGTTCTTTACAGCACAGGTTTTTTTCTTTCCTCCTCTCTTCTCTTCTTTTCTCTTCTTTCTTTCTTTCCTTCCTTCCTTCCTTCCTTCCTTCCTTCCTTCCTTCCTTCCCTTCCTTCCTTCCTTCCTTCCTGTCTGTCTTTCTTTCTTTCTTTCTTTCTTTCTTTCTTTCTTTCTTTCTTTCTTTCTTTCTCTTTCTTTCTTTCTTTCTTTCTTTCTTTCTTTCTTTTTCTTTCTTTCTCTCTTGTTTCCACTACTGAGGACTGAACTCAGGGCCTCGTTGCATTCCAAGATAAGCACTGTACCACTGAGCCAGTTCCCCAAAATTTTATTTTTATTTATTTATTTTGGTACCAGGGATTGAACTCAGGATCTTGTGCTTGCAAGACAGGCAGGGGCACCACTGAGTTAAATCCCTGGCCCACCCACGACACTTTAAAAAATTTTTTTTCATGTTTTCTTCTTTTTCTTCTCCTCTTTTGATTTTTGGTGTTGGGTTGGGTTAAGTTGTGTTTGTTTTCTTTTGTTTTCCCCCAGTCAGGGTCTCACTAAATTGCCCATCCTAGCCTCAAACTTGGATCCTACAGCCTCATGCTCCTGAGTAGCTGTGTTTACAGGCATGTACCATTGCACCTGGCTTTAGATTTTCTTAATAGAAATTTCATTTGCTGTTGGTTCTTAGGATCATTTCCAGAGGTTTTGAATTATTAAAATTTGTTCTTATTGTTTTGGTGAGGTTGTCAGTTTTGTTTTTTCTTTGTTGTTTTGTTGGCTTTAATAATCTTCAACTAGAAGTGGGTCTGTGAACTCCTCCTCAAGCTATAATGATGGAAGCAGATCCTTTATCTCTTTCGCGCCCCATACCTACTGAAACAGTCTTTTACTGTTGAGGCCTGAAAAGTAATCCACTTTATTGGGTAACTTTGGTATTAAATGTTATCATCTTTGAAAGTCAGGTATAGTGACACAGGCCTGTAATCTCAGCACTCGGGAAGCTGCAAGTTTGAGGCCAGGCTGAGCTACATAGTGAATTTAAGGGCAGCCTAAACTACATAGTGAGATCCTGTCTCAACAATAAAGAAGAGAATGAATGAATGTTACCGTCTTTGAAAAGCATCTATGTAGTACATGATACATAATAGTTCATTTTTTTAATGTCTTCTTTTCCTGAATTACCTAGCACATAATAATGCTTAAGACAATTTTGTTGTTGTTGTTGTTGTTGTTGTTGTTGTTGTTGTTGTTGTTGTTGTTGTTGTTGTTTGAGACAGGATCTCACTATGTAGTTGAGACTGACCTGGAACTCACTTTGTAGCCCAGGCTGGTCTCAAACTCACAGTGATCCTCCTGCCTCAGCCTTCTGAGTGCTGGTATTACAGGCATGCACCACCACACCCAGCTGCTTAAGACTATTAGTTGCTCTTTGTCCTTCCTCGAAAAGTTGGCTTAATTATAATAAAAGTGACTTACATCTTTATAGAGTCTTAGTCATGACATGTTCTGATGTATATATTAAATGCTGCATCATAGACAGTCTACAAGAAGTGCCTGAGAGTGTTAAGGGAATACTTATTCCCTCCAGTACTGGAGCCCAAACCCAAGATCTTGCACATGCTAGCCAGGTGCTCTACTACTGAGCAACAGCCCCGGCCCTCTGCTT